TATTATAAAATATTTTACATCACTACCCAACATCGCCTGATTTTGGAACAATTTTTTAAGTTCTGAAACACAGAAAAAAAAAAAAAAAAATTTTTAAAAAATTGTTCCTCATCAGACAATTTTGGATAACTTAATTCATAAGTTAAAAAACAAAATAAATTTTGGAACAATTTTAATAAGAAAAACAAAATTTTTTGTAGTGATGAAAAATATTTAATAATAAAAATAAAATAAATTCATATATATATATATACACACACACACACACACACAATATATATTTCTTTTTTAAATTTTTCTTACCAAAATAATTTATAAATTATAAAATAATGGAAAAAATGTTTCAAATTTTATACATTGAAAAATTTATTTCTCAGAAAAATTTTCTTTCTTTTCTTGATATATCTATATATATATATTTTCTATGTATATATAAAAAAAAAGAAAGAACAGTAAGATATATAAGTTTGTTCTTATAAATGTTTTTTATTTTTAGAAAATAGTAGAACAAAATTTAAATTTATAGAAAGCATTCATATAAATTAACTATGAAAAAAAACATATTTTAAATCAATTAATTTATAATATATATTTATCTATCTGTCTAAATATCTATCTATCTATCTATATATATATATATATATATCAAATAAATATAAAGAACATACAGATTGAGAATCAAAATAATATTTTCTTAACATTTGCTTTTTTAAAAGAAGTCTTTTAATACAACATGCCAAAAAATTTTTCAAATATTTATATTATTAAATATTTTACATCACTACCAACAAAACAGATGATGGAACAATTTTAAGTTCTAAAAACACAGAAATTTTTCATAGCGATTTAAAATAAAAACAATGCAATATTTTAATATATATATATATATATATATATAATTTACTTCATGTTGGTTGAATTTTTGACATGTCAACACTTGTTTGGTTATTTAAAGTTGTATTTTTTATAGGGCATCTAGTGAGTACCAAACTCATTATATAGGAGCAATGATCAACCAGAATGGCCATACAGACTAGTACAAAACACTGGGACACCATACATACATATAAGTGTGTGTGTGTATATATATATATATATATATATATGCATGGGTTGAATAAAAAAATGTACATACATGCAAATGATGTAATACTAAATAAGTATATTTATTCTTCAGGTGTTATAAATACAGTCCTTAATGTTATGAAATGGAGCTATAAGTATATATTAGTGAATATACATAATATCAATGTCTGTTAACATGACTCAGAGTTGCATGCATTTTATGCAATCTTTAGGTTCATAATTCTGTCAGAATACATTGAAGAATACTAATTTTATGTCTGTCAGAGTCTCAGGGAGTTAAAGATTGCATAAACTGCAGGAAAATCTGAGTCAATTAAAAATTTTAATTTGATATTCTGATTTTTAATTCCATCATTTATATATTGAAATCATGAAATTTGGAAATGGTTTTAATCCATGGCAATATTTTTTTAATATAAAATATTAAAAGATGGATTTAAAGAAGCTCAATATATAGTATACTATAAATAATATGCATCAAGGAAAATTTTAATGCAACATTGCAAACATGGTTATAAATTATAATTTATATCAATGGTTAATTTGGTTTATTTTGTTTTACGGCATATCAACCTCAATGGTTATTTAATGCCAACAGCTTTTTTTCCTGATAATATTTTGTTTTGTCAAAAATCTAATTCTGGTAATATTTTTTCCCCTCAAAAATGTCTAGCTAGTAATATTATTTTAAAAAATGTATTGCTGGTAATAGCTTTTTTTCCTTGAAAAATTTATTTCTGGTAATAGTTTTTTATAAAGTCTTTCTAGTATTAAAACCTATTTTTACACTTTCATAAGGTTTTTTTATTTCAATTTGGGGATTAACTATTTGCCTATAGCTATGACCCTAACAGGTGCTACCACCCCAGGTCAGGTTGGACCTGGGAACACCAGCAATTAAGAGGTGGTTCCACACTCCTTGAGACCTCTTGATCAGAGGCTTTGCTGTTGGACGTTGTTTATCGTCTTACCCTGGACACAGATGTAGTTTATCGTCATACCCAGGACGAATATCAAATGTTAAATGTTATGTTTTTAACATCTTTCTCATCAGGTCGAAGTTACAAGTGAGATGGGTGTTTAATTTTTTTTGGCATTAATGGATTCTGTATGATTCTTTTCTAGCTGCGAGGATGAAATTATGTGGGTAGGGAACAAGTCTAAATATTTTTCAATGTATTTCTCTTCTTCACCTATGTATTCTGAGCTATATAATGGCTCTGAGATAAAGTCCTATGACTAGTCCTGATTTTATTGTTTGATCTAATTATTCTAATTAATTTCTATTCCAACCACAGAAAAAAAAGCTAGACACTGCTGATAGCACTTCTAACATCAACAACACAAAATAAATATACACACACACACACACATACACACACACACAAATATAGTCATAATAAAAGTCAAAGCTTCAAATAAGCGAAAATATAATACCGATTGAGAATCCTTTATCCAAAATTCTTGGAATTAGAAGTGTTTCAGCTTTCAGATTTTTGGGGATTTTGGAATACAGGCCATTTAATTAGTTTATAGCATCCATAAAATGAGACAACTTGGGAATTTCTTTAAAGCATTTAGGATATCCTTTATATTTCAAAAACACATTTTTATATGTATATGATTTTAGCTTTTATGTAAAATTTTAAATATATTTTGTGTATATGCAGATAATAATGCTAGGCATGTAATGCTCACATAGATTTTTAAGTGGTGAATTTAAGATTTCACATAAAAATAATGTTTGGTAGTTTCTGTATGTGTACAAAAAGAACATGATCATTACTTACAAAAAAATATATAAATACTATCTTTACCAAGCACTAAACCACAAACAAAGATGCAGCTGTAATGATTGCTAACAAATTCTGGCACCAATGTAGGCTACATTTGTGGCACTTGAAAAACTTTAGGATTTTGGAATTTTGGATAAAAGATTCTCAACTAGTATAATATAATAATGCTAAATCTGCTACACAGAGTTTCATTCAACAGCAATCATCAGACAGAACTCTGATCATTGTCCCACTTGATGATTAGCATTGCAGGAAACTTTGAGACTGCTCTGACAAACTATTTTGACTGGTGCCCCAAATGCATGAATTTATGCATGCTACTAGGTTGGCATCTCGGTCCCATCCTTTTACTGTTGAAACAGTTAAATGTAACAGCTTCTTCTACTCTAACACCTTCTTCTCTCACACTTCCAAACAGTGGAACTCCCTTCCTCTTACTTGCTTCCCTGATAACTATAATCTTCAAAGATTTAAATGTAATGTCAATTGACATCTTCTGATGCTTTGATCTTGATCCCCATTCTTTTCTTTATCCTTTCTTCAATCCCCAATCTTTTCTCTTAATTTCACTCTCTTTAACCCCTTGCATACTAGTGGCACTTCCACCTTGCTTGGGGTGAAATGCTTAAAATATATATATATATATATATATATATATATATACACACACTACTGATCTTAAAAACAATTTGAAAGAGGCCATTTGACCAACTTCTGTTTTTTTTGACCAAAATTAACAATAAAAAAAAAAAATTAAAACTATAGATAAAGTTCACTTTCTTCAGAAACATCATTCACTCCTTCAGTTCACTGTTACTAACAAACAGGGATTATTTTTTTTCCTGTTGATGGCCATGCTGGTCGAAACTGCTCAAGAAAACTAATTGAAATAATAAAACAAAAAGTATTAATATACAACCCAGTGTGTTGATTATGAATTTTTTTAAATACTTCAAATTTTTTAAATATTTATATAATATTATTATATATATTTTATATATATATATATATATATTTGTGTGATTATGAGTGTATTCAGAAAAGTGTTCAGAATATTATATATTTAAAATTTTCCTCTCCATCTAATATTATTCAGTGTCATAAAATTGACATGGGTTATTGAACCACAAACCTTGTAATACCAATTCCAGCACTTTGTCATTAAGCTACCACTGTCAGACAAAGTCATTGATATCACTAGAAATCTTATATAGTGGTGAGATACTGTTTTATGTTTCAGTGTGACATGAGCTTATTTTATTTCCACCTCCTCACGTTTTGATAAATGACTGTTGTATTTTAAATTTTATTTTTCATCATGATTGTTTGGGATTTTGAATTTGTTTGTTTTTTTTGGTCATGCTTTTTAAAATTAATAAATCATTTTTGCATAAATGTCTCTTGATTGCACGTGGGTGAACAGGAAAAAAGAAATGGTAAAAAAACAAAAACAAGAAAACAGACTGGAGCAAGCAAACCTGATAAATTAGAAATCACCCGGAATTCTGAGCAAGGAAAAGATTTTTGCTTTGTTATTTATGAGCATTGTTTCTCATTCTGGCTGAAAATCCATGGAGACGAGAATCCTGACGAGTCGTTTAGACAAAAAGATAACAAAATTTCTCCTGTAGTTTTGCCTTTTTTTTTCTCTTTTTTAATTAGCAGTTGATTAAAAATTATATTTAATAAGAAAATAACAAAAATAATAACAGTTCAAGATGGATGGTTAATTTTCTTTAATTTAGCTTGTGACTGACAAGATAATAAAACAAAAAAAAACCCACAAAGATTGCAAAATAATTTAAAATAACAGATGGATATCTCATGACTCAAGCCTTTTACAAAAAAATTTTAAATAAAAAAAAAAAAAAAAAGTTTAAAAAAGTTCAAACTATTGCTCTTATTGCTTTTGTTACCTTTGAAAAAAAAAATGAGCCTTCTCTTCTTTAATGCTGTAATAGTAATTATAAGTAAATTAACTGTTTCCTTATAAGGAAACATCTGTCATTCATTAGATGAACAGTTGGCTTTACTGTTAGTTAAAATTTTTCAGATCAATTTTTCACGAAATTAGACTTTTCAGGTCCCTTAACTGTTATAGCCCTTTCTAATATAGCTTACAGCCACATCACATTGAAAACACCAGTTCCCATACAATCACCAAAGTTAAGCAACATTAAGCCTTGTCAGTACCTTAATGGGTGTCTGCTTGAAAATACCAGGTACTGTAAGCTTGGATGTGTGGTTGGTGTAATGGATAATGGCTTGGAATTGTTAATTGGAGAGCAGAGTTCAAATTTCAGTTGGGTTCATTATATTCTCTTACATGCAAATACCCTTAGGAAAGGTATAAATACAACTCTTATCACTCTATCTATGGGTTAATTAGTAAGACTTGTATCATTAAACCATCATTATCTAAAACAAAAAAAATTCTTACAATCCCAAAATATTTGATGGCTTTAAATAACCTGCAAAGGATTGATAAGCCATAAAAAAATGAATCAATCTTTATAGTATTGATATGTCCCAGAGAGAGATATATTTGTTCAAAGTAGCAAAGTGGTTTTGGACTACAGTAACCGAGTAGGACAATCTAGCAGGTAACCATAATAGACTGGTCCTTGTCGTAGTGGTAGGCAATAGGCATCGTCTATGTACCTCACATCAGTCTGTATTTATGGCTGACACCAGCCAATCATATTACTGTGAGGGGGAACCCAGGTGTATGCATATTCATTACATCAAGTATCAAGTAGAATTCTTTCCAAACCTTTTGTTTGTGGTTGTTGTGAAATCAACATGTTGATTATATCATTATTTTCCTTTTTACTTAGATGTGCTACACATATTTGTTGTTTTTCCTGTTGGAAGTTTTCAAGTTATGTGGTTTTTGTGATTTTGTAAAGATCTTTTTAATTTTTTAGTGCTAGTCTGTAGCATCTGATGAAGGATTGTCTTTGACTGAACCTAAAGGATTCAATTGCTCAAAGCACTTTTTAATCAATCATCTTATCAAATTGTTATGTACAGATGACAGTTAAGACATTTCTGTGTGAAGTTGGACTAGTTTGTTCATTCATTTGTTTTTACAGCTTTTCTAATTTGATTATGTCTGTCAACATATGGATTGATCTGTCCCTAAACAAAAGTAACCTCACCTATTCATATTATTTACATTAAATAGGGTCAGACTAATGTCCTCATCTTTGTTATTAGTATCACAGAATTTTGGCTGTAAAATCAGTCTTCTTCATCATATTTATAATAAATTTAAACAAAAGTTTATACATAACATTGAAAAGTTGACAACCTCAGCCTTAGAGCTTAAAGAAGAAAAATCCTTCCAAAGTATTTATAGATTTGCGCTACATAATCACAAAGATGTATTTGCAAATAAGAAAAATCAGATTGCGCCAAGAAGACTTGCAACAACTATTTCCAATTTGTTTACAGCTGCAAATGACATCACAAAGTCCAAACCAATAACTACTACAACACAAAGTAGATATTTAGCTGTTTCAATTTTAATATATTGTTAGTTTGACCAGTAATGTGATACACGCTAATTTGAAAATATCTTGTATCTTTTGATACATTATTTGACGACAAATTTTTTTTATTTTCTTCACCATTTTAGATCATTAGCAGATAGTTTCAATGTTGCCATCAAGGCTATAGAACACTTAGAAAAACTATTTACCCATATCTGGGGGAGAAAAGGAGGATTCATTTTTAAAAAAGGTATTATTGATAATTCAATGTAATGGATTCAATTGGCTCTGAATCAACTCAATCTGAGTTACTATCCATTACTCTTTTGAACCTTTCTTTTAATATATATTAAAATATATATATATATTTTATATAAAACATATTGTAGAACATATATTGACCTTGACTCTAATAAAAAATACATGTTTTTGTTGGCCCAATGATGGATTTTAAAATAAAAGTCGAGCAAATATTTTTAAAAGGTTAAAACCCTTTTTAGAACATCTGGGTATGAAAAATTAAAAAATTTCTACCAATTTTTTTCATAAAATAGTTGGAACAGTTTTATTATTTATGCAAATGATTTTTTTTGCTAGCCAACCACTAACATTTTGGGCTCAATATAAGAGATGCAGCAGTGGATAATGAATTTATTTATTTATGACACGATTGCTGAGCATTACTAAGGATTTCTCTGTGTGTTAAAGTAGTAGTATTACCCAGCATCACATGAAATTTCTTAATCCTTGCTTGTGTTTCCAGTGTTTTCAGAAATTGTTCATCTAAGACAAAAGTTTCCTGTCTGGAACAATTTATTTGTGAAATCTGCTTGTCAAAATCCCATATTTGGTTCCTGTCGTTGCTAATTTTTCTGTCCCTTCTGAGCTGTGAGATGCCTATTTGTTGCAGATACCTAACCAATAAGAAGAAAAACCACCAATTGAACTCAAAAATACTATATACAGTATTTAAAAAATTTAATAATTCCATGAAATCACCATATTTATAACAATGTTTCCAGCCATTGTACACTCCAGTCTTCTTATTGGTGATTGGAATATCAAACTGAAACCCTTTATTTTTTTTGTAAAAATTAAACTGATTCTAGTTCCATGTACCAGTTATTAATTATCTATGAAATTAATTCCCAAAGATTCTCCAAATGCCTTAAAAGAAATCAAAACTGTTTATTTTTTGGGTCCTGTCAAATTTAACTAAACTATAATAAATATGGCAACAAAAGATGAGGACAATAGTCTGAATAATGTAAATAATGTAATATAAAACTCATCTCAGAAATATGGACAGATACTGTAAAAATTATTGTGTCACCAAATGAAGGTCAAACCAATTCTTTAATCTACTGTATTTATTGTAATAATGACCAAGATAAGAACAATAGTCTACATTTAAATAATGATAACTCGTCATCCCAGAAATTAACAAAGAAAATGTCATTTAGTAATGATAATTTTAATGAAAGAAAATCAGCATATTATTTAAGCTTTTAATGTCATCTCTTCATTTCTATCAATTGTATCCATTTCTAATTTTGATTTAATCATTCAAACATTTATTTGGTCAACTTAAACGAATATATTTGCAGATAGGTCACACCCTTAGTTTGGGGGTTATCAAAGTGGGAATTTAAAACTTTGCATTTTAGATTTACACTATAATCTGGGGGTGTTACATGGCTGTTTTTTAAAATGTAAATATAACTAATATTTGTTAAATATTTTCAAATATTCACCTTTTATTTCAAGACTTTGCTTACATATATAGAAAAACATAAAAATGATTCTTTTGTAATTAATCAATTGAATTTATTTATCAAATGTGAGGCTGCTCAGTTTAGAAAAATTGCGGATATCACTTCAGTCCTAAAATCACTTGAAAATGATAGTCTTTCATCATAAATCAGATAATGAATGGTAAACATGAGAAGTGCAGATCAAGCACTTTTATTGATGGGTGATATTGGTACTGTAAAAGGGTGATTACATAAAATCAAAATGTTGGAAAAAAATTTCCTTTTTGCTTTTGCTTATGCTTGAAAGAAAACTCATGGACTACTAATGCAACAGAGTCCATTTCAGATTCTCTATGATGTTGAAGGGATAGATTGCATTCCTGATTTTTTATTGAAATTTTACGAAAAAATAATTAGCAAATCTATCTTCTAATATATGGCAGTACTTCTTTTTTTTTTGCTGCTTTTGTTTTTTTAGTAAAGGTTGTCCACTTCATTTACTTTACTGTTGAAAGCCATAAACTAATAAAAGAAAAAATGAACTAGTTTAACCCAAGAGCATCATTTTAAATTTATAAAATCTCACAAAATCTCAAATGATTCATTATTTATAGTCATGCAATGTTTCCAATCATTGTTAAGCAAAGAAATCCATGTAATCTGACAGGTTTATTTCTTTTAATTCTACCCCATTTATTAAAGGTTGAAAATTTTTTGAACTCCATTGTAGATATGGTTTATGAAAACAGATGTTTCCATTACGCATGATATGGCTTAAAAAATGATCACCTCAGATGAATAGCTGTTTTCTTCTTTATATTTCTTGTCCATATTTATTTGAATTTAAGATAGGAAAAAAAATCCCCAAGAAAACATTAGGGTACATTCTAGAATCTGTATACAATGTTTCAGAGGAGAGACTCTTTTCTTTTTTCATCCAGTTAAAAAAAAAAAGAAGCAGGAAAATATTACAAAACAATAACACACATGAAACATATGCAGTCAAATTCTGTTATGCAAGTCAGTGTTTTCATAAGCTAGATGGCGTACTGCCACATCATGTTGCAACACCAATTCTCATATGATCACCAAAGTTAAGCAATGTCAAGCATGGTCACTACCTAGATGGATGACTGCTTGGGAATACCAGATGCTGTAAGCTTGGATGTGCAGGTGGTGTAATAGATAATGGCTCAGAATTGTTAATAAAGAGAGCTGAAGCTTAAATTCCACTTCATTATATTCAGTTGAAAACAAAAAAATACCCAATAATCTTCTCCCTCCAGCTATGGGTTAATTAGTAAGAATTTTATCACTAAACCATTATTATCTCAAAAAAAAGAAATTCTTATAATCTAAAAATATTTTCTGGCTTTAAATAACCTGCAAAAGATTGATAAGCCATAGAAAATGAATCAACCAACATAATTAACTAATTACTAAAGAAAGCAACAGAAATGTGGTTCTACAGAAAGATGCTGAGAATGTCATGAACAGTGAAGTTTTAGAGAAAATGTAAAAAAGGAAACTTGTATTTAAAGACAGTTGAAATTTCTGGGACACATGATGAGGAAGGAGGGCTTGGAAAATCTGATACTCACAGGACAGTTTGAGGAAAAGAAGGACTGAGGAAAAGAGCACATAATATGCTTGATAGGCTTGAGTAAATGGATCATAGAACAGGGTTTGAGAAAAATAGCAAAATGACACAACTTATTAAGTGCTACAAGGGACAGGAAGATGTGGTGTTTTTTCTTTTGCCATCATCCTGAAGGGATATGGCACAAGAAGAATTTTGCTAAAAATTTTCAGGATGTGCTTAGATTTATATGTTCAATATACCAAGTGAATGACAGTTGATAATGTTTTCTTATTAGAAATATTTTTAAAGACACATTGCATTTTATGGCTGAGTAGTAAAGCACACCAGATTAAAATGAAGATTTGCTCTACAAAGGGTGATGCAGGTTCAATCCCTACCAGA